TCGATACGAAAATCTGCGATGATGCTTTGCAGCGACGATACACTACAACACAAATGTCCATGTTCTGCTGGCCTGCATGCAGCATGATGACATATTGTTAGACGCTTCTTCGCCCGATGGCTCGATGGCACCCCTCGCTGCCGGCACGTAACAACAGCGAAAGGCTCGGGGCCTAGGGATTTGAAAGTGTCAAATTTCATCAATGAGCAGCGGAAGGGCAGGCCGCGAGGCCTGGGTGCTCTAAGGAAAAAACGGCGGAGCCTATCACAATGCCTGGCAAAAAGATGGCCCAGCTGCAGCAGTCAATCTCTGTGCATGATCTGGCCGGCAGTGGCCACCACAAGGAGAATCGTCAACCGGTACCCTTCACACCCGGACCTTCATCCATACATCGACAGTTTACACGATAATTATGCGATACATAGTGACTCCAAGTCGAAGGGCTTGCAGAACCAGCTTCTGGCACTACAATCGGACTCATCTTCAGCTCAGCTTCACCGCGGAGTTGGCGGGCAAACGGAGCTTGCACAAGAGCCAGTACTTTGGCTTGCGGGCCTCGACCGGCTTGCCCACAGAGCAATCCACCTTGCAGTGAGTGGCCACGCTGCTGTCAGGCTGCACTTGCAATCCAACACGACACAGCGCGAAACAGAAAGTGACTCAGGCACTGGCCTCCCAAGCCACAGAATACTTGGTGCTCTTGGGCAGACTGTTCAATTTGCCAGTCAGCACAGCACCAATTTGAGTAGCCCGTACACCTTCCAAAAGGTTTGCATCCGCTGCCAACTCCTTGGGGGTGTAGACATTCACTGTGGTCTTGGCCGAGACGTTGTAGCGGAAAGGAAGCGGAGAACCCTCAGTGTCCAGTCTGCTGTGCGGTTATACAGACCGGACCGTTGCAATGTTATGCTCGTGCGTCTTATGGTAGACTAGCCTGAGGCACACACCTCATGTTCCAGTGGACTCAATGTGTGGTCCACGACATTCATGGCAGTGAAGCCAGCCGACGTCGTGAGCCAGTGAGCCAAGCCTGAGATGGTCGTCAGTATCTTGCCGCAGTCCTGTCGGAGATGGATGAGAGGCTCGCGATCAGTCTTGAGGTAGAACGCAAGGCCGGTCGTTGTTGCCGGCAGGAGTCCCAAAGGCTTGTCATCGAAGCTGCCCAGGTTGAAGCCGAAGAGTTCCCCTGGACCCACACACAGCTCGGCCTTGGCATTGTTCACAAGCCATATGTCCTTCTCCTCGGTGATGCTGACTGTGAGATTCGCCGATAACGCGCTCGCACAGCGGGCCAGGATCCTAAATTGTTGAAACACCGTTCTAGAGTATTTATTTCGTTTCCTCGAACGAATGAAACTTCAGTGACAACTGGCACGGCAACCTCAGAGCTCACAAGATGCTGGCCAAATCACGTCTTACTCGACTCCAGCTCCCCTACGGTCAGCGGATCCTCCGGCAGCCACACGTGCTCAACATCAAACACCTCCTCGCCGGCACGGTACACAGGCACGCAGGATGTTCGATGAGAAGGAGTTGGCGCTGACGTAGTCTTGCCACTGCCCCGCTCCACGGTGGATGTGGTGGACTGCGCCTGAAGGTGCTGAAGATCCTTTGCGTGCTCCTTCCGAAACTCCTCGATCATCTTCAATAGCTCGTGGCTTGACGGTCCCAAGGATTCCGCCAGCATCTCTGGCAACCTGCAGCGCCGGCATCTTGAACGGCTTTCAAGCAAATCAAAGTGAAGGCCCCAGGCTAGGCGCAGCCGAGGGACTTGGGGACGCCGTTGTTCAAGGCCAGGATGGTGAGCGCTGGAGTCGGTGTCCTGGAGATTGTCGTTGCCCGTTGCTTCGGACCTGCTTCGAAGCTTTCATCCCAATGCTCCTGGCATCTGCTGGCACAAACGCAGCATGCCTCGGACACGCCCACATGACTTAAAACCAAAGTCTATCCCTTCAGCACACTCCTTGAGGTAGAGCCCCTGCAAGTGCTGGCGCTTCGTTTCCACGCTTGCGAGGGACTCATCCTCCTCGCTTGCCAGGCTCATGAACTTCCAGTCCAGACTGTTCGCACCTGAATTGGCCAAGAGAGGCTTCTGCAACTCCCAGCATGCTCGGCCCAACTCATGGTACCTGCCACCAATCAGCAGTCAGACTGATTCTCAAATGTCTCTGCATATTATTCAAATCAAGATCGGCTTGGAGTTGAACGACCGTGGAACCTGTTGGTCATGAGATCCAACACGAGAATTTGTTGCCCTCGCTGCAGGTCCAATCCGTCCACCAAGGCCAGCAGCATCTCTTTGGTTCCTTGCACACCTCTCTGGGCTACCTTGGCATGTTGGTAGCAAAATCTGCATCAGATTAACTTAACAACATGCACTGCTCCACTTGAAGCTCGGGCACTCGGTCAGTAGGAGTGACGGCACCATCGCCATCGCTGCCCCAGAGATCCTTCACCTGGGCCCGGGAAACCGGGCCCAGAAAGCCTTTGCTGGCCTTGATCTTGTGGGCGATATGCTCCG